TAACTTCACAAGACACACGAATTGCATATGAATGTTCAATGAGAAGTATCTCATACAAACCTAACTGCATTCCTGCCATATTCTGATAGTGTTCATACATTCAATAGAGTGACCTGTTCCACAATTTCAAAATGTTAGAATAATACAGCGTTTCCTTCTTCAAAATGCCTTGAAAGAATTTCATTGGTATACAAACAAATCAGTCCTTCAGCTGTACATTCTGATGTTGTCTATTTGGTAGAGGCGAGTTTTAATTACAAGAGCAGAAATTAAAAATTGAGTGGGGTTAGCAGAAAGCACAGGTGCAGGATGATTATTTCTTGGGCGCTTCCACTGAGATTTATCAAGGGTCACTTGCTCCTCAGAACGCAAAAGCACATTCTTCTCATCTGGAGCCCCATTTAACTCACATCTGAAATCATCAGCAGAGTGTGTTCCTCTCGATGTGACAAAGATGAAGCTGGACAATAAAACAGGTGAACTAGAAGCAAACCCTTCCACACCGCGTCGTGGTAAAACAAAAAGATTCCAAACCTTAGTTCATACTGTTGTGTGGTCCTTCAACAGTTGTTATGAGGGGGTGGATGAACAGGATGCTTGATGTCAATGATTTCCATACACAAGTCAGAGATCGTGACAGTATTTTTACTTACCAAAACAAGAATTCCTTTACATACATATTTAATGCAGCTTCTTTTTATTCATTCTGACAGAGATAGCAACGTAGAAATCTATGTACAATTGTATCGTTGTGCAAATGTACATCTTTGAATCCATGAAACATTTTGCATGTAACACTGAGTCATGTATTTCAACTGCTCTGTGTTACAATAAAGCACACAGTAATAATAACGTGTTGTTAAGTGTAATGGTCATTAAAACCACAACTTTCAACTGGAAATGCAGACCATACCACATTCTGATGAATATGCATTTCAGCACAGGAACAGGCCCTTTGGCCACCACCTCTGTGCCAAACATGCTGTGATTCCAAAGTAACATATCTGGCCGCAGATAGTCTGTATCCATCTATTCCACGCCAGTTCGTGTGTCTGTCCAAATACCTCTTAAACATGTTTACTATAACTGGTTCTGCCACCTCCCCAGCAGCACATTCTAAGCAACTGCTACGGTGTGTAAAGTACATTTCCTCTCATCTCCTTTAAAAACTTTCTGCCTCTCACATGCAGGCGATAATCTCTAGTATTTGACAGTTCCACCCTGGGAAAAGACTTCAAATCTCCATGTCCGTCATAATTTTGTATATTTCTATCAGGTCACCCCTCAGCCTCCAAGACATTCGCAGAAGCAATCCAACCTGTCCAAACTCTTGATATAGCTAATACGTTCCAATCTAAGCAACATCCTGGTAAACCTCTCTGGCATCTTCTCCAAAGGTTTCACATGGTTCCTACAGTGTGGAGTCCAGAACTGCACACAATACTTCAAATGCGGCCTAACTAAAGTTTTACACAGGTGCACAATGACCTCACAATTTTTAAGACTCAATGCCCTGATCCAACAAAGTGGTGAAAACAAATCTGTCCATCTAAATGTTCCTGCCACTCAATGCTGAAGTGTCATGACTAAAACAGTCCTTCACCCTCTCCCTGAAGATCTGCACAAGTGTGGCTAACAAGAGTCAAGAGCTGTTTGTTAAAAAAAAAAGTCAGGTACACACTGGTTAACAGACAGGAGACCTTCAGAGCCACGTGCAATTCCAATGCCCTGTTTAGTTTGGCACACAAAAGCCATCCAGAGTTTTCAAAGTGCCATTCAGCCCGGATTTTCTTCAGCATATTAAAAATACCAAACAATGTGATCTGACCTCTCATCCTCCCTCACTTGGGCACAAAACATCAGCAGCATGAAGATATGAACCTTTCAATGGAAGTGCTGAACAATTCCAGCTTCATGAAGGGAACTTTTGTACTACACCATATCTCTCACACACACACCCTGACTCCCACGCCCTCCACACACCCACCTCCCTTACCCTCATCTCCAATCTTGACATAACCTAGCATCAAAGTTTTCCAGCCAGCAGAGATCACCAACAATTGTCTCTTCAATAAGCATTTCACATTTGGGACAGATTCATTACATTTTCTTTAATGTGAAGAAAAATACACTTCTATAATTTTGAGTCGGGAAGTGATTTTGCACTGCAAATCAGCATCTTAGGGAAATTCCAACGCCTGTCTTCAAGCATTTGAACAATCTTCTCCTCACAACCCTCAGCTGCAGATCAGCCTGACATTTGGTTTGTTGCCATGCAGCATGGACAGAGGGGGCAAGTCAAATGTCTTAGTTTGGTTAGTTTCTGTTATAATTATGGAAATGATCTACTGGCTTAAGCTGGTTTGATTGAGCAAGTGCCTGCTGCATCTCTGCAGCAAAGGCTATGTGTTGTCAAAAATAAAAATTGCTGGTAAAGCTCAGCAGGTCTGGAAGCAACTCTGGAGACAAATCAAAGTTTAATGTTTCAGGTGGACTGACCCCTCCTCTGAATATCTTTGGATTTGGCAAATCACAGCCTCTCTGACTCAGATTATTAATTGTCTGCCATTTGCATCTGCTCCTCGTTATCCTTGAAGTAATCACTGGCAATGCAATTTCCATTTTTACATCCTCTGGATCTATTTCTTGGTTCTGGGGCACGTAAACATCACTTTGTTGTGCGAGCACTATCACCTCTCCATTACTTCCTACCTCCCTCCTTCCACTGAACCACGGGCTTCATCATTTTTTTACCTCTGCCAAGCCTCCCCTTGTTTCTCTATGTGGTTTAATGTTGGACTTCATTAATCACAGAAGAGCCTCCATCGAATAGCATCCACCACTCTCAGGCACTGCATTTTTGACCACAACCACTCTAAACATCAAGGTTTCTCATGTCTCTTATGCTTCTTTTTACAATTGCTTTACATTTCTCTCATTGTATTCTTGATCTTTCCACCAATACGGAGCTCTTTTTCATCTCCAATCTCTCTAAGTAACAGAACTGTTCTCATCAAGCTCTTCGAAGTTAACCCAGTTTTGACAGAACATCACTGAACCAAATAGTGTCCCTTATTTCGTTCCCCATGAATCACTGAGCCCAGCTTGCTCAGTACTTTCCCACATTTTCTGGTTTAACATGTGGCCATACGTCTTGGATGATTTTGTTGCAAACACCCACAGACCCATCGATGAATGAGTCTGAAGAAGCCTTCAATAAAAGTGATATTTTGAAAATGTGAAATAAGCACACGATGCACGAAATATCCAGCAAGTCTAGCAGCAGCTGTGGAGAAAGGAAGATAATTTCAAACCTGGCATGTCTTAATTCAAAGGGGCTAGAAAATGTTTTTTTTAAATTGCTGTCAATCAAGGGAGGACGACAAGTAAAACAGATGGTGAGGGTGTCTCAGTGCTAAGGGTCACACAGAAGAGATTGTAAAGTAGTTGTAAATAATAGATGTTAAAAAGAAAATATTTGTCCAGTCTGCTGACAGCGAAGTGAACAAGATGCAGTGTTTTCTGTATTCTTTATGATAGCCTTGGAATCTATGCATTTTCAATGTTACACAACATAACAAAAGTAGCTTCCAAGTCATGAAGTGCTAAACTGATTAGTCAACAGTATGATGCAATTTGTCACAAAAATGCCATGACACTGATCACTACTGAGACAGTTAAACTTTTCAATGAGTCATAAATTGCTGTCACTATTTGATCTAAACTTCCAAGTGTGGGTGTGTGACCAACACCGATCCCTGAACTAGTAGAAAACCAGTCACACACCTAGCAATGCACCAAGTTAAATAAATAGCAATAGAACATCAGTAATTAGGTAATTCATGATACCAGGAGGAGATTCAACAATTTTAGAGATTGCCCAGGCTCGCTTTAAAAAAAGTTTCCCCACCTACTGAGTCGAAGCAAAACTAATCTTGCTTTTCACAACCAGATCACAACTGTCACACCCTTCACACTGTGGCATTACACCCATGTTGATTGTCCAAGCAAAGTTTTTTTCTAAGATTTCAAAATTTGCAGACGTTGCATGAATGGTATAATGTTGCCATCTAGTGGCACCAGTCAACAAGCAAACGGAGTCAACAAAGATACTTAATTGCACATTGCCTGACCTCATTTCTGATGAAATTACAGATCGTGCACGTTTTTAAAGTTTTTTCAACTGTTTCATGGGAAAAGCATACAAAAGGTGCAGCCCGGACCAGAACATGGAGTCACGAGCACTTATAAATAAACCTAGTCAGAAATTTTGGACAAGGTCTTCCATGATACTCATCAGACTATATCATTCATTTCAAACAGAACACCAAAGATCATAGCTGCATTTACGAGGCTGTAAATGAAGGATGAAGAACAGCTAGAGGAAACTAGTCAAAAACCAGTTGGCCCCGTGGTAATGCTCAAATTTGCTGTGTGACATAGTATTCAATGATGTTCTGAGGAAGGGACACTGGACCCGAACTGTTAACTCTGATTTATTTTCTTCACAGATGCTGCCAGACCTGCTGAGCTTTTCCAGCCACTTCTGCTTTTGTTCCTGTGTATGAAATGAAGCATTTGGACTGCATTAACACACATGAGATACAAGCCTTTCACCAAAAACCAAGCAGTCACTTGGGCCAGCTTCTGATGTTAGTTGAGGGAAATGGGAGTGAACAAAGTATTGGTTGATTAACATTACAGTGCACTCAACCTAAGCATCGCTCACATTTCATCGGTTCTCTAATTTTGTCCGCATGGTGCAAGTCTTTCATGAACACAATGAAATCGCTAACTTTAGGACTGCAATTATCACACTTTTAGAGGGAACAAAAACTTAAGTATCCTCAACAAGTTCAGTCAATCAAGTGATGACATCACATGACACTAAATAGTCAGAAGGTGATGAATGCAAGAAACATACCTGGTCGCATCTGAAGCAGAAAATATCAGCACCACTTGAATGCTGATGTGCAACAGAATATAGACTTAGAGGAAAATTCAGCATGTGTGACTCTTTATTTCATATGAATGAGCTGAACAATGCTTTTTAAATGACAAAGCAAGAGTCGAAATTATTTCACAAGCTATCTCCAAAATTTTTTTCAGATGCTTCAATAGAAAATGCGTCACCAAACAGTTTGCATTGTGCACAGCAGAACAGAAATCTCTCGAGTTCAATGATATAACTGTAGATCTGCTATTGAACAGATTTCAGTACCTGCTCCATCTTTCACACTGGTACAGTGGCAGAGATATGCAGGGAACACCAACATCGTCTAAATAAAGAAAACTTGGGTTTTCACTTCTTTGCACTTGTCGCACTGTAAATCATCTTCATTCAACTGTCAGGCAAGTCTGTTAGAGAACCTCTAATTTCTTCAATTCCTTAAAGAAAACCAAAGAACTTTATTTGACTCCAAAAATTAATAATACGAAAATTTAAGGTGCTTCTATCAAACCTACAGCTCCCAGCTGACTTGTGACTAAGTCCAGGATTCAACATGGCGCTTGGATTACTCATCGAATGGAACTTCTGTTAAAGAAGGTCTACAGTGCAGATAGAGTCCATTTGGCCGATTAAGCCTGCACCGACCCTCTGAACAGCATCCTGTCCTATTCCCGTAAGCCCACATTAACCACCGCTAGTCTACGTAGCCTGCATATCCCTGGACACTACAGGGCTACTCAGTTTGACCAATCCACCTAACCTGCACATCTTTGGACTGTGGGCAGAAACTGGAGCACCTACAGGAAACCCACAGAGACATGCGTAGAATGCCAAAACTCCACACAGGCCCAAGGATGGAGTTGAACTTAAGCTCCGGCACTGTGAGACATCAGTGTTAACCACTGCACCACCATGCCACCTACTGGTCGTTGATTTTAGTCTGGATTGTTACCTCAGTACCCTGGAATACAACTGGACAGGAAGGGCAGAGAAAGGGGAACGAGGGAAGTCAACTATGTCTTATTGCCAGTGAGGTTTGGGTTAGGACAAAAGCACACTTCCGTTGCAATCTTCTTGCCTGCATAAGTCACCAAAATTTTGGCACGGTTCTGTTCCACGCCCAACACTAACAGAATTCTTGAGGGTCAGAGCAAAAAGGAGTTGGCAAAGAAAATATGAATCAAAATATAGTGTCCCAACAGGAATGAACTGTTTAATATATGTTTTATGACCCATTTTACCGGAGCGATCTGTTTTCATTGCTTTCCATTTATTCCATTGCAGAGTAGCTAGTCTCTGTGGCACTGCTCATTTAGTTTCAAAAGCACAATTAACTTCCTTTCAACTTGTAGCTGATCCATGCAACCTTCCATTTGTTTTGTGTGCATGTCTCATGGTCACTTCACTCCCAGTCGTTTGCTTTACCTTGTGGGGTTATGTCAGGTGAAAGTGAAGAAGCGCACAACTGCATCTGGTGCACTGAACAAATTCATCCTTTAAAATTAAATCTGTAGGTAGTGGCAGGCTCATCTATCTCAATAGTTAGTGCATTTAGATTATGGGCTTCAGACGTGACGCAAGTTTTGGACCGGAAGCTGTGATTTTACTGCTATTTGCTTTTGAAGTGTACAGAACATGAAAATTTCACACACTTCAAAAAGCCACACATGATAACACCCATGTTCACCCCGCCTCGCTCTCGATATATTAAAATACCTGTATTTTTGAAGGTCAACTTAGTTCAACCATGCTTTTCCTTGGAGATTCCTCCAAATCATCAAGAGCTGTATTTCCGAGACACGAAAGTGACCGTCGCCTGAGCATTCTAATTCTTGCTTGGGATTCAGTTTTACTCCTAGCCTGTTCTGCACAAGAGATTTTTGTCCATGGTTTGGAGAGCCGGGAAGATCTTCTGGGAAGCTTACTCATCATCTTCTTTTCCTCTACTGGTTCAGTGCTGGATAACTCAACCCAGCTCAATCCTGCCACATTTACCACACCAGACAGCCGGGCACTCCGCCTCACCTTCTTCTTTTCGAGGATTGAGTTTTCTCTAGAAGTACCTAAACATTTGATTCCCATTTCCAACTGGTCAGCAGTTTCAAAGATATTTATATTCATCTGTTCCGATGAACAAAAGTGGCCTGAATTATCAAACACTGTTCCAATGTTGGTTTTTACTTGGACCTCATCAAACTCAATGTTATTTTTATACTTGGGAACAATTCCTTGGCCAATCATGCTGTTTACAAGGCTTTCAGCTTGTGAAACATTCTCAGCTTTGTTACCATTTGCAAATGTTTCTTGTCCTCCAACATGGACAAGAATTGGCTTGTCTACCTGCTTTTCGCATGGCAGTTCTGCTGCTCTGAATAATTTGCTCTTTCTGCGACATGTTCTGCTTTGAAATATCTGAGTTGCACAAGGTAAATGACTCGCCTTTTGCTCATGAATTGCATTGGATGGCTCAGTTGCTGTTATAAGGGATTCTTTGGTTACAGTGAAATTATGAGCAAGAGTCAATTCTTCCATTTTTGCTGACTCTGCTTTCAGTTGCTGATCACTATCTTGAACAACATTTGATTCAGATTCCAGGCAACATCTGCATTTGTAATCAGCAGTTTGAACCGCTTCCTTGATACATGGTTCAAGTTTGGTTTTGCTTGGGCATTGTCTCTCAAGTAGGATCTGTACTCTATCAATTCCTTTCTGATTATTTTTCACCATTGTGAACTCTTGTGAAAGATGCTTCCTCATAATATTGTTTGAATATGTCTCTCTCATGCAAATAGGCTTATTTTCCTCATTCTCAAGATTTTGAGCATCCAAACTATCCAAAGCTTCCAACTTATGAAACTTGGCATGCAAAAATGTGGATGATTCATCAGCACCACTCAAGAGACCACAGCTTAAATTGTTCTTCAGTTTCTCAAGCTCACACTGGTGATCGCTAACATTGTTAGCCAAAATGGTTCTTTGCCCACTGTCACTTTCAATAGATTTCCATACACTTGACTCCCCCTCCAAGTCATGGAAACTCCTCTTGTACGATCTTGTTGGTCTTCGTATTTTTTCCCTTACGGATATAGAAGCTGCACGCAAAGCAGTGTGTCCAACAGCTGACCGTTCAGAGTCAGAGGTGTTTTGTTGACTTTGTTCTCCAATAAGACTACCTGCTTGACAATGAAACAAGACAATTACAAAACATTCTGTACTTGTGCTTGCTATTTGTGTTGCAGTGCGAACCTAGTGAGAAGGCAATCATAACTACACAGACTCTTGAACAAAAACAAGATCTGTCTTCTATATTTATTTCAGTACAAATCAAAACAAACAATTGCATTTCCTCAAGGATTTACTATACGCCTTAAAACCCTTTGTTGAGGAAGAGAACACAGATGCAGAAAGAATAGGACTAATATTCCAGAAGACAACCTGAGGCTGAGACTAATCCATCTTGAAGGCAACAAAAAAAAAAAAAATAAGAAACTAAAAACTAAAAAAAAAAAAAAAAAAAAAAAAAAGATTCAGCGCTAGGTGATATACTGTACCTGCATGATGAATGGAGAGCTGGTGGACCCCAATACGGTTCCTTTCTGCAACCCATGTTGGTTGCTGGAAGAACTCCACCTAAGAAGTGATGAGCTAGACACTGCAACACATATCATACTGTGTTTCACTGTGTCACACCCTGTAGGTTAAGTACTTCGAATTTGGACAGCAGTCAGGGACAGGAGGGTGTGACGAAATGGGAGGTAGGTAAAGGGATCATGAATATGGCAGTGGAGGATCTAAAGTCCTCCATGGGGTGCTGCCTACCTGGTGTCAGGATGACAGACATATTCACATGACATTAAAAGGATATTGGAGGCCTTAAGGCAAGTCAATACAGCTTCTAAAACAACAAGACAGAATCAAGAAACAGCCAGGAATCCTACTACAGGTAAGGCAAGTAATGGCAAAACTATACTAATGCAGTGATTAAACCAAATTAGATAAATAAAACACGGGAATAAAACATTAGTGCTGAGTGACAGGTTCAAGTGCACGGCCCAAATAATAGCTCGATATATAATACAGTGTGTAAGAAATAAATTAAATGAGCTGCAGGCACAAATTCAAATCGGTGAAGATGATATTGTTGCCATACCTCAGAAAAGGCTGCAGGATGGTCAGGACCGGGAACTGAACATACTATATTGTTTTCAGTTTTACAAGAGAGTTACAAGAGAGACAAGGAAAATGGCAGCAGGAAGAAGGAACCTTAATGATTAGAAATAAAATCACTTCAATGATGAGAGATAGGTTAGGACGAGGGATAAACATCCAGTAGAGAATGAGTGTGCAGAACTCAGGAACATTAAAGGATCTAAAACTTTAATAGGTATTACATATAGACCTCGATAGCACCTCTGAAGTGTCACATTGTATAAAGACAGAAATTAGGCAACTTTGTAACAAAGCTTGTGTCATATTAATGGGGATTTTAGCATAAATGTGGATTGTTTTGGATAAAGGTCCGTAATACACGGGGACATGCAATATTGGATTTAGTAATGAGCAGCATGTTGGATTTAATTAGTCACCCAGTTGTACCTGAATCTTCATCAAGTGATCGTGACAGGATAGAGTTCAATGCAGCATTTTAAAAGCATAAATCAGCTCATTGAACAGGAGATTGAGCTGAGGCTGACTTCAAAGAGATGAGACGACACCTCAAGTACAGTGGGGAGGTTTAAAGAAACAGTAAATACATCACAAAACCAGCTATATCCGAGATGGAAAAGCTCCACATCAAAAGAACTAAAAGGCATAGGCTACTCAGTTAAGATACAGCATACAATTTAAAAATGCAGAAGTACAGATCCTACCAAATGGGAAAAAGGTATAGAGACAAGCAAAGCATAACAAAGCAGTCTTTAACAGCGACCAAAAAAGGGATAATGAAAACAAAGTTGCAAGGGAAATCAAAATCAATAAGAAGAAATTTCAGTGTTACATAAAAGGAAAGCAAGTGGTCAGAACCAATGTTGGCCCACTAAAAGACAAAGTGGGGATATCATCAATGACTATTGGGAAGTGGTGGGCACATTGATTGATCACTTAGCCGCTCTATTTACAATAGAAGGGGAGGAAAGCTTGTCAGCAATCCCAAGAAAATTCCCAGAAAATTAATAGCGGATCAGGGACAGGGACTGAATAAAATTAGCCGAACTAAAAACAGAGAAAATTAATACAAGAAAGATAGATCCCCGGAACCTGGACCGGTTCCATCCAAGGGTGGAAGCTAGTAGAGGAGCACACTGTAGATGCCCCAAACAGTAATCTTGCAGAGTTCCTTCGATACAAGAATCGTCACTCTGGAAAACCACGCATACCATTCTACCATTCAAGAAAGATGGAAGAGCAAAATGAGGGAATTACAGACCAGTTAGCCTAACATTTGCACTGGGGTAATCAAGAAGAGCCAGCAGGACCGGTAGCACGTGTGTGACTGAGCTCAATGAAATTTTGAAGAGTGACAATGGGAGTATACAGAGCAATGTCTATGCACATTGTTGTATGGACTGATAGAAGGCACTTGATAAAAGTTTCAGAAAACTTTTAAAGAAGAGATTGCAGACACACTCGCTGAGCCGGTGGGTTTGGTTGCAAACATTTCGTCACCCTGCTAGGTAACATCAGTGCACCTCCGGTGAAGCGTCAGTGTTCTGTCCTGCTTGTCATTTATACGCTTCGGTTTGTTGGGGTGGTTGATGTCACTTCCGGTTCTGTTTCTCAGTGGTTTGTACATGGGGTCTAATTCAATGTGTTTGCTGATGGAGTTCCAGTTGGAATGCCAGGCCTCCAGGAATTCCAATGGCTTGCACAATTATCAATGTGTTGTCCCAGTCAAATTCGTGTCCCTCGTTGTCCGTGTGTAGCGAGACCAGTGAGAATCGGTCACGTCTCTTGGTGGCTAGTTGGTGTTCATATGTCTATATCGCCAATTTTCTTCCAGTTCGGCCTATGTAGTGTTTCTCATAGTCCTTGCATGGTGTTTTGTGTATAACCCAAGTTTTGCTGGTTTTGAGTATGGGATCCTTTGCATTCATCAACAGCTGTTGTAGCGTGGATGTCGGTTTCTGGGCTTCTCTGATACCTAGGGGTCTGACTAGTCTGGTGGCCATCTCTGAAATTCTGACATTCCGACATTCCCACTGGAACTTCAACAAACACATGGAATTTGACCCTGCGTACAAACCACTGAGAAACAAAACCAGAAGTAATATCAACCACCCCAGCAAACAACAAGCAGGACAGAACACCGACGCTTCACCAGAGGCGTACTGACGATGTTACCAAGCAGGGTGACGAAACGTTTGCAACCAAACCCACTGGCTTGGCAAGCATGTCTGCAACCTCATCCACAAACCGAGCTACAAATCTTGTCAAAAACTTTAAACTTTCAATGAAGGTTGATGCAAACACAAGTTAGGGCAAATTACTGGGAAATTGGTTGACTGGCTGTCAACAGAAAGTAGGCATCATGGTGAGGTACTCCATAAGAATCCATGTTAGAGCCTCAATTATTATTAAATCATGACTTGGATAATAGCATATAAAATCATATATCCAAATGTGCTCAGGACACACAGCTTGGCAGCATTGTAGACAGCGTAGGTGATAGCAAGAAATTACAATGGGATATTGACAGACTAGGTGAACAGGCAAAACTCTAGCAGCTGCAGTTCTGTGCAAGCATGCGAGATGTCAGCCATTCTGGACTAAGAAAGCACAGATCAGGGTACTATCTAGATGCTAACAAGTCTTAATACAGTAGATGTCCAAAGACATCTCAGCTTCACCAACAGGTGCATAACATAATCGGCAAAAATACTGAAGAAAGCTAATGGAATGCAGGCCTTCATATCTAGAGAAATGAAATCTATGTTACGCTGCAGCTACAACAAAACCCTAGTTAGACCCTACTTGGAATACTGACTGCATATGTGGGCACCACACCTTCCTAAGTTTTTGACCTGGGAGGGGGGGAGGGGCCGCGGGGCGGTGGTGCAATATAAGTTTCTAAGAATTAAAGAAGGACTTAAGGAATTACTTTATGAGCAGAGGTTACATAAATTACACTTATTTTCTCCAGAGTTTAGATGATTTCAGGGCAAAGGTGGAAGAGAAAAGACAGGGCAGATAAAGATAAATCATTTCCATCAGTTTGGGATTTCAGAATTGTAGGGCACAGTCTCAGATGCTGGGAAGCTTTTCTGCTTCTCAAAAGGTCAGGTGATGCTAGACCAGCTGTTAATTTTAAGGTTGAAATTCACATTTTTTTTGTTAAGCAAAAACTAAGGATTATGCGCCAAAGGCAGGTATTTGGGTTAGGTCACAAATCAACCACCATGTCATTGAACAGCAGACCAAGCTCGATAGGCAAACTTCTGTATGTAGGTTCTTCTCTGCACCTCTGCCCAACCACACAAAAATTTCAAGCAGAATTCATTCAAGAACGACAACGAACTGAATCCGGGTCAATTATTCACCTTCCTTGCTAAACTACAGAAGTGGAAGTGGACTTTTCAGCTCATTAAAGAGAACATTCAACCAGTCAGAAATGAATAACTTGCATGTCACACTGTTACAGATTCATACAAGATGTGAATCAAGAAGCAGTTCATGAATTTATATGCCAAGGCATACGAGGTTATGGGCCAAGTGCTACAAAATGGAACTAGTTCAGTTTGGTGACAACAAGGTGCAGGGCTGGATGAACACAGCAGGCCA